GAAGTGCCTGAGGTTCATGTACACGCCCGGAAGTGGATGCCGGGTTTGAAGCGTTAGTAAACTGCTGTCGCAAGTGATAGTCTGACCGACGGAAGGGGAAAGCTGGCGCCTCAGTTAGGTGGACTGTGGAATGCGTGGGAGGGGGGGTAAGTGGACCATGACCTGAAACAGAATGATGATGACGGGAAACTGCACGTAAACCACGAAACCGGCAACCCTACAGTTAACAGCGCAACTGCCGCGCATGTGAACTGCCCAGAGGTGGTTTAGGAAAGGAGAAGTTTGTGTGCGTAAGGGTATAAAAGTGGAATTGTATATTGGACATAAATGTTAGGCAACAGTAGATGGGAACTCCCCGTAAACCCTACCGAGTCTGTTCGGTAGGTGTATTTGAGGTTTTTTTCTGGCCGTGGCGGCAAAAAATACCACAAGCACACCTACTGAATAAACATTAGTACGTAAGGTAGCCGTGATGTAAGTCCTGTGGCCGCGTATTTGGCACCCGTCCCGTTGTACTCGACGCGGTTCACTACGACGGTTGCACCTCCTTTGTGGGCTGGCTGTACTATTTTATCTTTGTCCTTTTTTAAATGCTTTTTCGCTTTTAGTACTGCGGACGACATATTATTGGTGGACTTGTTCGTCAGCAGTAGGGAGGTGACATTCTGGCGTACGTTGCGTATAGCCTCGGCGGTTGCGTTGGTTCTTACTAGCTTGACTTGTTTGGCGAATTGGTTACTGATTCCATTGGCCAAACAATATCCATTTTGGCAAAAAATAGGCAGGAGTTAAAAAGCATGAATCTAGAGCAGAAGTTCGTAAAGTTGAAACCCGAATACAAAACGAACGATAATGTGGTGCCCAATCTATCATCCAGGCAGTTAACGGAGCAAAAACTGAGAGTGCTGAGTCGTAAAGCCAACCTTAACACGACAGTTACTAAACCAGACGAATTTGTCACCGCTCTTGAAGCCATGCTAGTAAGAACCAACGCAACCGACGTAGCAATACACATCGTACACCAGAAAGTCATCTCCTTACTGCTGACGAACACGTTCGTTATAATTGAAAGGAGCAAAATGCGCTACTTTCAAGACCTGCTTAACGGCATTTTCCCCGACATACTGTTCACAAGGAAATAATAGCATGTCGAACAGCTGCCTTTCCTTGACGTTCTGGTCACACGCACATTCAATAGCGAACTCAGCACCACGGTGTACAGAAAGGCGACTAACACGACTCTGATTCTCAACTACAATAGTAACCACCCAATGACGCATAAACGCAGCTGTGTTAGGACACTCTTCCAAAGGGTAAAAACGCACTACAATGAGCCAGAGGGACGAGTACGAGAACCACGGCAGATTCAGGACCAACTGGCAAGGAATGGATAGCGAAACAACATCGTCAGTCACTGCCTCCGCACGCACCCACGGCGAACAAACGGAGGAGAACTGTCAACACTCCGGCACCCGCTACAATATATAAAGAATGTGTCCGAAGCGATGGAACGTATCGCTGGAGACCTCGGTGTGAGTATCACTCACCGTCCGACAGAGATCATGCGCAAAAAAATCATGCAAGTGAAGGACCGGCTAGCGGTGGGAGAAACATCAGGTGTCGTTTATCAGATGCCATGTGGGGACTGCCCTCGCCACTACACAGGACAGACTGGACGACGACCTAGCTGACTAATAACGGAGCATAAACTGACGGTCTGGCAAGGGGACCCGTCACACTGGAGGAGGGCCACGGATTCAGCATCGCTAGCACGCGGATAGTAGCGCGGTCCTGGGTGTCTGACACCAACTCTATCAGCAGGCACGTTGACATACCCCCTCCTATCACGCGCTCCGTTCCCGCGGCCAAGAGGCAAGACCCAATTTCCAGCCAAGGGTGCACGCAGTCACGCCGCCATGAGACGGCGTGGGACTCAACTTATCGCGAATACCACCCTCTGCACTCATATCCTCCCTTCATGGCTTGAGTACAAAAACTGCTCATTTGATGCCAAATTGTCCCAGTCTCTGACGATGGCCTCCTGTATGAGACCGAAAGCTCAAACTAGCTGAAACCGAAAGCTTAAACTGTCCCAGAGATCGCGTATCCATCTTCTTCAGATACCTTCATATTTGGCATGGTGCGTTTGTCCGCTAACCGCCTACACTCAAAACCGTCGTTAGTCATTTTTGGGCGGAATCGCGCTGGCTGCCCGACCGCGTGTAAACGTAGCACCGGCGGCTCGTTAAAATTGCATTATTTTTTTGAAATTCTGTTTTTGTTTGTTTTCTGATTATCGTGCTAACTTTCCGTTGTTATGCAGCAGCGCACGTCAAGTCTTACAACGGAAATTAAATTATTTACTGCAATTCCTTGAATTTAACCTTCCGTCCGACGCACGTGCTGCTCAACCCGTAAAAACCCCATTACGACCATTCCCGTAACGCACTGACTACTGGCTAACGATCTATCTTGCGATGCTACTAATTATCGTCTTTGAGGAGCTCCAGTCAAAAGACCAAATTACTAGGCCAAGGTACCGTGTTCGCTACGTTAACGGCATCTCCGTAATTGCCACTAGAGAAACCAACGTAACCGCCCTCTTAGGTGCCGTAGATCGAGCACACTCGTCGATCAAGTTTACGTTGAAGGTAGCAACGGTAGACCCTCTGCCTTAGACGTCCTTCAAAGCAGAAGAGATGTCGGCAGCGTTCGAAGTAGCGTATATCCAAAAGAATCCTGGTTTTTACCATTTACGAACATCTGCAGTTTTGTACCTCTTCAGCAGGAACTTGAACTAGTTCGTTGTTTAGGGCAAAGTGCTAGAAAACGCCGTTCGACAGGTTGCGTTCAGGTAGTGTTATTGACCAACTGCGTCTGACACGAGGGAGGTAAGAATAGGCCACCATCAGAGGCCACATCCATGTCTATTTACCCCATTACTCGCTACAGTGGTGCGGATTATATTGGTTGCACGAGTGGACGCCCATCTACAAGAATACGCGAACACTTGATGGAATGGCTGAGGAAAGGTTGAACTAAAGACATAAACAGATCTATCCACTGCCTGTTCCGGCTGATCTTTTCACCCGGTTGAATGGTAGCACTTGCTTTGCCAAATTGGATCTCACTGATGCGCATTTGCAGATCGAGGTCGCCCCAGAGTCGCGCGAATTGATGGCCATCAACTCCCACCACCGTCTGTCCCAATATACCAGGCTGTCCTTTGGTGTCAAAACTGCCCCGGCCCTATTCCAACAACCGATGAACACAATGCACTCCGGCATCCCTGGCACAGCTGGGTACCTGGACGACATTATCGTGGGGCGCTCCCCTGCCGAGCTGCAAGACCGAGTGTGCGCAGTACTCGAACGTGTGCAAGAATATGGCTTCCGCCTGCGGGCCGACAAGTGCCAAATCTTCCTCGACTCCATCACGTACCTGGGATTCGTTTTTGACGTCGCCGGTCGCCATCCAGATCTTGAAAACATTCGAGCCATCCAACGGATGCCTGCACCCAAGAATGTATCGCAACTTCGTTTGCTCCTTGGCCTGATCAGCTACTATAGCGCCTTCCTACCATCTATGCGTGACGTACGGGCTCCGCTCAACAGTCTGCTACAGGAGGATGCTCCCTGGTGCTGGTCCTCCGTCTTCGAAAAGGATTTCGCCCAGCTAAAGTCGATGTTGATCTGCTGCTCACGCACAACGACACGACGCTGCTGATCGTTATTGCTGCAGATGCTTCCAACCACGGAGTTGGTGCCGTCATCTCACATACTTTTCCTGACGGGTCTGAAAAGACAATCATGCCTGCATCTCGCACGCTAACCCCTGCGGAGAAGAACTACGGGCAAACAGAGAAAGAGGCTCTAGCCCTCGTGTTTGCCGTCAAGAAATTCACAAAATGTTGTGCGGACGTCACTTCACGTTGTTGACGGATCACAAACCATTGCTTTCAGTCTTCGGTTCGAAAAAAGGCATTCGTGTCCACTCAGCCAGCCGACTTCAGCGATGGGCGACCATCCTTCTTGGCTACGATTTCGACATTCGCTACTGTCGTACTACAGACCTTGGTCAGGCTGACGCCCTTACTCGCCTCATCAGCAATCAGCAAGAACCTGAGGAAGACACCGTGATTGCGGCCATTTCGATTGAAGACGATTTGCGCCGTCAGCTATCAGACGCTATACGAGGTATCCCTGTCACTTCCGCGGACATCCGACGTGCTACTGAACAGGATCCTGTCCTCCATCGGTCAATCACCTACGTGCAGACCTGCTGGCCAGCCACTGCTCTCGCTGGCGATCTTCGCCAGCTCCTTCTTCGCCAAGAATCGCTATTTGTGGTTGACTCCAGCGTCATGTTTGCGGACCGATTGCTGATCCCATCTTCCCTCCGACCCTCTGTACTACGCCAGTTCCATGCGGCTCATCCTGGTGCCAGCCGAATGAAGTCTATTGCTCGCAGTTTTGCTTACTGGCCGGGTATCGACGGCGATGTCGACGACCTGGTTCGACGCTGTTATCAATGTTAGCAAGCTGCCAATATGTCGCCTAGTCAACCGCCTGTACCCTGGCAACCACCGGAGAGGCCTTGGGCACGCGTGCATATCGACGTCGCTGGCCCACTTAACGGAGTCCCCTACCTAATCTTGGTTGACGCCTACTCGAAGTGACCCGAGATTGCTCCGCTGAATCCAGCGACCGCATTTGCCACTATCGTCCTCCCACGACGCAACTTTGGTCAACATGGCTTACCGTAAGTCCTGGTTTCAGATAATGGCTGTCGGTTTACTTTGTCGACGTGCGAGTATTTCTGCTGTCCGCACAACATCCGGCATCTTCGCTCCCCACCCTACCATCCTCAGTCTAACGGTCAGGCGGAGCGTTTTGTCGACAGGTTTAAGAGAGCTCTCTTGAAAGTTCGTGGAAAGGGGATCGCGGACTAGATAGTCCAGGCGTTCCTGTTTTCCTACAGGACAACACCGAACCTAGCGTACCCTCGTGGCGTTTCTCCTGCCGAAGCTTTGATGGGCAGAAAACTGCGTACAAAGCTTCATAAACTCGTTCCTGCCGGTGTTCAACGCACGCAGACTTCTCCAGTCTCTCGCAGCACGTTTTCCGTCGTAATACCTGTCTTCATTCGTGATAATCGAGCTGGGTTCCCAGACTGGATTGAGGCAAACATAGTAGCGCACAGAGGCAGTCTGTTGCTTGATGTCGACGTTGGTGATGACATCTGGGTTCGTCACCACAACCAGATCAGACGGCGACATTGCAGTTACATAACCGGGCTCGAGTCGGTGCCGTCTCCCTTTCTTGACATTTTACTAGATACCTTCGGGATTCCGGCAGTTTGGTAGGTTCCCGAACCCACTGTTGCGCCTCCTTCGGATGTACCGTCTTCGGTATCAGTCACTGCCCTCGTGTCTTCAGACAAAACACCATGACTGATATGCCGGACCAACCGCGTGCGCCAATCAACACTGCCGATGCAGATCAGTCCATGCGAAAGCGGTAATGACCTACTGACGCTAGGTGTCAAATCTTTAACTGTGGCCGAGTGTGTAGGCGGTAGCGCAAGCAATTTCAGGTAGCGTCATCACAAGGCTAGTATCAGCCGAAACGCGTGCGCCCGTGGTTTGTCCAATTCCGGCCAATCGTTAAAGGGAGAGATATCAAACGACGTCACGGCATAGCAAGCCGGAGGTTAGTTTACGAGTGCTATGCGTACCGAAAACGATATGGGCAAGCGCCGATGCTGACGGTAGTGAAAGCGGGTATGTTAGTGAAACTCCGAACCTACAAAATGCAGTTTATTGAATCACCTTTGAGGACTACCTTCAAACGTGCTAGTCACTTTCAACTCGCATAACTAACACCTCTTTTCCGTAGAGATGGGCGTCGTTTTCTTTCGGGCTTAGCTATGTCATTTCAACTGACCTCCGTAATCATGGGAAATTGACGACAATAATCCTTATTGGTTGTTTGTTGTACGTCATCCTCGCGGTAACTAATCTTCTCATTTACCCAACAGTGATGGTTTACTCTATTTCCATGATACTGTAACGGCAGTAAATAACGCTGTTAATGCAGCTACAAAAAATTAGTCTTAGAAGAAACCGGTCAAGATCAAACCAAGTACGATAACTATTTTTATTGCGGGATTCGTTACTCGCAATTGTCATGTGATCACATGCTAAATGCAACCACGAACACGTCTATGTTTCTAGCCCTAATCGGTTGCTTTTCGCGGTAATGGGTCCAGCATATATCCGCGACGTTTGCTCTCGCCCTAGAGATTAAAATGTTATCTTATTAACTCCTCCCCGAAGGCCGCTGTGCCCGAGGATATTTGCCAACCAGCATATTTCTAATTTTAAGAATTACAGTTAATCCTTGAACCCGATGTTTCCTAATATTAGCAGATTTGGAAGTCTTATCAAAGCACACAAATTTGGATTTATGATTCTATCAAAGTTGGAAATTTTTTCAGCGAATAAATATTAACCTCAAAAACATTAACTGCTTCGCCCAGCACACAGCATGACACGCACACATTTTATTCCCCTTAATGAACAACTCTCGATTATCTCTAGCCACAATTTAGGTATGGAAATTTGTCTGTATTTTCTAAGAAATAAAACCAAAACACACTTGTCGTCATGTCGCATATTTTTAACGCTTATATTTAGATGCTAGCAGTTCCACGAATCCAGTTGAGCGTTTCCACAGGGCTCTTGGACGACCAAATCCAGGATTTTAAGTCACTGTCAAATTCAGATGAACCTTCTTGTGCAGCGAGAGCCTCTACTCTGTTATTTCCTCTCCTTCTGCTGCCTAAGCAGCTTGTAAAAATACCAGATAAAACTGACTAAAAAGGCTAGTATTCACAATAATGGTGCAGTGATAATATGCGTCCAATCACATGTGCAGCTGATGTCACATACAGTATGTGGGCTAACTTACGAAATGGCAAACAAAATTCTGAAATGCATTGTCGTTTCGAAAAACATTAACTAAGGAGGGTTGTTGAACTAATCTTTTTGCAGTATAATTCTATAATAGTTTGGTTAATTTAGGATTTTGGCTATCAAACGCACGTCTCTGCGGCTGCATACAATAACTGTACTCTGTGAAAATTGACAACTTCCTTAGCATGCATTTTCCTCGCTGATTTTCGATGCCCCATAAATTCCGATTATATTTCATGGAAAACGTGCATAAAAATATTCATTCCTCAGCTCATTCGGTAAAAACTTACGTCTTCTTTAAATTTTATGCTCGAAAGATGGGTATTATTTGGTTTTTAAAAACTTTGTTTAATTTCCGCATAATTTTGAACCCGCTTTGCCGTAGCACATGCATTGAGGGTTTTCAAACTCTAAGCAATGTATTTTCCGCGTGGAGAAAACAACACATTTATCTATGGTATTGAAAGGAAGCCCTATGGGGTTCATAACATTTAACATTCGAATTGAGCCTTTTTGTTAACCTCAAAAGCCACATTGGTAAATGCAGAGACATGACGTTTATTGAACGGCCATTTCGCGGTTTCTAAAATTCTTCCGATTAGAAACTGTTTGAAACCGAATTATATCCCTCCTTCAAGTATAAAATTGAAAGAAGACGTAATTTCCTACCGAATGAGCGAATGAATGAAAATTTGTATGCGTGTCTTTAATGAAATATGATTGGACTTTAAGGAACAACGAATATAAGTAATAGAAAGCGTGCTATTTAAGTAGTCATTTTTTAGAGAGTAAAGTTGTTTTCTGCAGCCAGAAGGCCGTTCGTTTGAAAGCCAACATCGTGAGGCAATCTAATTATCATAGAATTATACTTCAAACTTATTAGTTCTACAACCATAGTTTATTAATCAGTTCGAAACGAAAACGCATTTTGATAGTTCAGCTGACATTTCATGAGTTACCTTACATACTGTTAAAATAATTGTATCATTCTTCCTTGTAAAAAGGCTATTCAAATTAGAACATCAATTGGCGTGCTAGAGAGAGAGAAGAACGAATCATTCGCTTCGTATTACCGAGTGCGAAAATGGCGTTCGCGAATGCGAGAAGAGTGAACCATGAACGAGGCTCCGGCATCTCAGTCAAATACGTCCATTGGCCGAGGGGACTCTTGGCGTCCGGTGGCGTAAACATCTCCACAATGTTGACAGTGTTTCCTCGGCTATCACGTCCACCGGTGACCAGGATTATCTCCTCGAAGGGTGGCGCTGCGAGACCCTATCGCGCAGTTTTCATGGGGGCAGCTGGCAGCCAAAAGTCTGCTGATGTCAGCTTCTCTCGCCAGTCTGCTCCCAGGTTGCAAAACACCACCGAGGCGAGCTTGAGGGAGTTATTTCCCCTAAAACGAAAACCCTACTTTCGCCGGGCAAGTAAACAGCGGCTAGACTACTCCTCTTCTCCTCCTCCAGATCGGGCAGCTTGTGTCATCTGTCCAGTGTGGGAAAGAGGTAGGAGGAGGAAAAAGAAGAATAAGATAGTGATGATGATGATGATGATGATGATGATGATGCTGATGATGATGATGATGATGATGATGATGATGATGATGATGAGGAGGAGGAGGATGATGATGATGAGGATGA